CCCCAAAACCCCAAAACCCCAAAACCCCAAAACCCCATATATATCGATAGGTTGGATCGAAATTTATAGAATATAATGGAGAAGAAGCTTATCTTTATTTGCGTTCTGATGCTGGTCCACTTTGCCTCGGCCAACAACCCAGGCTTGGTAGCTGTCATTAAAAGAGACATTATTGACAAAGTGAGGGACCAATACTTTGACAGTGTGTTCCAAGAGCTTGGCGAGCTCAATATTCCTGATGTAGACGCAGGTGATATGAAGATTACTCAAATCAAAGCTGCCTTGAGTAATGGCTCCCCAGAAAATTTGATCACCTCTTTCCATAATGATATTAACGCTGTTGGAGTTGAATTGAAGGAGACTGTTATGGATGTAAACGTTAACTGGAAGTACAAGAAGACCATCCTTTCTCTTTCCGGAACTGCTCATGTTAAAGGAACTATTCAAGACCTTGGTTTGAATGTTGTAATGAACAAATTGGTAGAAGACCAATACGCTATCCCACAGATCAACGTCCAAGATGTAAATGTTGGCATGGACAAGTCTAAATTTGACTTAAATTTGAAGTGCTCTGGATGCCCAGGAGAAGTTGAAAAATGGATCTCTGGTATTATGAAGGGACAACTTCTTGATGAAATCCAAAGTCAGATTAGAGATCAGGTACCAGCTCAAGCCAACACTAAAGGAAATGATATTCTTAAGGAACAATACCCAAGATCCTACCCCTTATATAACAACATTGCTATTGCAACTGCTCTTACAGATTCTATCGATGTGCAGGATGATCACTTAGAAATCTTATTGGACGGAACCTTCTTCCCACACGACCAAGGATACAAGAGACCTTCTGATGCTTCTGAGATGCCTCACTACAACCCTAATGATCCCGGACACATTATGATGTTCATTAGCTCTTACTTGGTAGATACTCTTTCTTCCACAATTGGAGTTGAGAAACAGACTTATGATTTTACTATTTTAGGAATATCTTATCAGTTTTCATTAGACCCTGCTGCTGGAAAAACCTCACTCTCTTTCGAAGACGGAGATTTCATCGTCCAGGCAGTGCCCACCATCGTTGCTTCTGATTACGGTGTAGGTATCAGCATTGGCGGATCTGTAAAGTTAGATCCATCTATCTCTGCAGGAGATGAGACTAACATGTTATCTGTAACTCCTTCAGTGAAGGGGCTTACCCTATCAAGCCTTCAGGTGATCACACCTTCCCAGACTTATGACCTGAGTAGTGTTGCTGAATACGCTAATGTTGTTGCTGAAGCCTTCTTGAACTGGCTTGTTGTTCCTACCATCGGTGTGAAGAAGCAGGAGGTCCTGCCTCTTACCGTTGTTGATAGCGAGCTCGACTTCCACAAGGACTACTCAGAAGTTGGCTTGAAGATTGAATTTGCTTAAGATTTTATGAGACTAAGGGATGATTCTGATGTTATTTATCTCTCTAAGTATGCTCACAGGAGCTTCAATCTTGGTTAACATTTTAGGGGTTTTGGGGTTTTGGGGTTTTGGGGTTTTGGGGTTTTGGGG